TAAGTACTATTGTTACTAGTCAAATATAATGTCAGCACAATGTTATCAAGCGTTCTTTCAGAAAGAATGTTTTTGATATAAAAGTTAAAAATAGATAATGATGGAAATAATGTAAATGAATTATTTAAATTTCTCAATTATGCAGTTGCATAAAGAGAATTACAGCGTATCTTATGCAAATAATATCTGTGTGTCATTATTACATGCCAGTTCTAATAAAACATTGCCAACTTTACTTTTGTACTTCTACTTATATATGCAAAAAACAAAGCTTATATTTAGTTTTACAATGGAATTGGAATGCTTGCAATTAATTTTAATTTACAAATGTAGATATTAATTTTAAAAAGAGTTTTTTACTGTTATTTATCTCTTTAAAATAACTACAAGTTATATATAAAAATAGTTCTAAAGAACTAAAATTATTAAAAGCAAGACAAATCTTATAACAAAAGATATACTATTTTGTTAAAAAAAATTACAATATAATTATGTGTAATTGAAACAAAGTCATTATTTCGTTATATAAAAAAATAAGTATAACTTCTAGTCATATACAATATTTATTAGTTTTGATTATTATTATTATAAAATATATAAAATTTTTATTTTATAATTTTAAACAGTATTATATATATATATATAATAAAATCATATATATAATATATATATATATATAATAAAATCATATTAAACTGCGTTAGTGTTTGTATACCATATATATTATAAAATAGATCCTTACGTATAATTTATTGTGTATTTTATTATAAGATATCAGAGATATCTTTTTACTTCGAAACAAATTTTAAATTATATTGTTATTATGCTACATAATACTTAAAAAGAGGAATTAAACTTACATATATTCATATTTACATACTGAAATAACATATTATTAATTAAATTATCATCCTCATATAGAAAAATATAATTAATCTCAATTTTTTACGATTTACTTTTCTCATATGTATAATGATTTTATCTTCTCAATAATACTACATCTTAAACTTCTCTTTAACACCATTTTTTTATTAATTTTATAAAAAAAATATTATTTAATATACATAAAATTGTAATAATCACAAAACTTTTTAAGAGACTGTTAGAAAATACCATTTTGTTACAATATACCAAATTATATTTTCTTAAACATTAAAAGAAAGCGGATTGATGCTAATTTTACAATGTAACAAAAATTGATGTTTCAAATTAGTGTTTTCATAATTTTACTAGAATGAAGCATATATGCATATAATTTGATCCTAAATTGTACATACATAGAAATGTATAAAAGATACTGAAAAAATATGAATTAAATAGAAATGTACGATAAATAAATGTAGAAAATAATATGTGAAAAATTCTAATAATCAGTGGATACTGATATATGGCTTTAAAGGCGTGCGATTCAGGTGTATATGCGTTTCTCACTCGTACATAAGAATTACATACATGTATACATATTATCATTCTCATATATATATATATATATATATATATATATATATATATATTATATTGTGTGTGAGTAGTTCTATTGTATTGTTAGTTGATATTTGAGAAACATTGTATAGTAGATTCTGATAGTATAATTATATTAAATGGGCCAAAGTTGTAAAAAATTTATTTTATTATTAAACCTGTCTAATTTGTAAATATAAAAAAATGTATTAGTCATATTATAAATCTTAACATAGAAGGCATATTGACTAAAAAAATTATACTTCACAATTTTTTACAACAGGATTCATGTTTTTTAATTCTTAATGGATGAAATTTTCTTTTACATTTATTACATGTAACAAGCTGAGATTGATATTCCTCCCAATCTACTTGAGCATAACTGAATTCTAAAACAAAGATGTTAAAATTAAAATAAACAAGATACAATATTATATAAAAATAGAGAGAATTCTCATTTCTAATATATATATTATTATATTTAATATTCACTAGTAAATGAATTAATTTTTAAATACATTATAAGTTAACTTACCTACAGGATCTTGATATTGTTCTTGTTCTTTAATTGTACAATTAGTAGATATGACTAATGATGTATCAGAAATGTTACAAGGTATTGTCATATTTTGATTTGGACTATGAATTGGTGTTCTAGGTATTTCATGCTTAGGTTTCATAGGATTAAAATCATTATCACTATCCTAAAAAAAAGAATATTCAATGATATATTTATCAAATTAAATATATATATATATATATATATATATTTTTTTTTTTAGATATAATACTTTATCATGTGATTTATTTTCATTACAAATATCTATTTCATAAGAATTTATTTCTTCTACAAATAAGTTTGAAATTTCATTTGTTTTATTGCTAGATATTTCTTTCATATCTTCTACTGAGAAAGGAGTAACTTCTTCTGAAAACATAAATTTTTGATTGAATAATTATTTATAATAATAATTTCTTTTTTAATCATATTTCCTACCTTTTGAAATATCAGTATTTATTGTTTTTTTTATATTTTTATCTTCAGCTCTTTTCTTTTTATGTCGCAAAGTTATCATACCATTCATTACGTTTTGAACATAATTATTTGTTTGTTTTTTTATATGTTTAAATTCTTTATTTATTTGAATTTCATTAGAAGTACAACTTCTTAATGCACGTTTTCTTATTTCTATATTATTTTCTCCTTGTTTTTTTTCATTAGAAATAGATTTAGATCTTTGTATATTCTCAGAATTATTTATATCAAAATTGTTTTTTTTAGTTTTAATTTTCTTTTTCTCATTTTTATTTTCTATTTTTTTTAGTTTTTCATTTTTTTTTTCTTTTTGTTCTTCTTCATCTGATATAAATTTTAATTCTTTTGGATCTCCAAAATAAAGTACTGGAGGTTTATATTGATCTACATTAAAAGCTACTTCTTGTATTGTAATATTTGGACTAAACAGACTTTTATGTGCATTAATATGTGATGTATTTTTATTTATTATTTGATTTTCCATATGTTCATATGATTCATTATGTTTTAAATTTTCTTTGTTTTGATCTTTATCTTTATGTTCCTAAAAAATTACATTTTAATTATAACATAATATAATATAAATTTTATAAAATATGAAAATAAAATTCTACCTGATTTTGACAAATATCATTACTACATTTACACCATTCTTGACATTGGTTGTTTTTTTTTACACAACCACAGATTTTGGAAGAACATTTTCCTTTACAATTACAACCACGTGATATTATTTTACTATTTTTTCTCTCTATTTTTTCACTTTGTGAATTTTTTTGTAATGTTTCATTATCTATAGGAGATTCAACTATATTATTAGAATTTTTTTCAGGTGTTTGAATCATCGAACAATTTTCAACAGAATATTTCCTCAAATGATTAATTTCAATAGTTAGAAGTTTCACTTGTTCCTGCAAGCGTGCTATTTCTAACATAGTATCAATTTCACGAGTTTGAGTTGCAACATTTTTTTTTTCACTAAAAAAAAAATAATTTTTTCACATTTAAATTTTACGAGAAACATAACAAACAAGAGAAAATATCAATTTTTTTTATAATATTTTTTTATAATATTAATATTAATATTTTATAATACTAAATTATAATACTAATATAAATTAATAATTATCTATTAATAAAAAATTAATTTTCTTTGATTTTAATTAAGATAAAATGATTATTAATAAAGATAAAATTGTAAATATACAAATGTCAAATTTAAATGGAATTCATATAATTTCAAAGATACAAAAAAGATTAAAGTGAATAAATTACATACGTTTTAATCTCTATTATTTGAGACATTTTACATAAATTGAAAATGTCGAACAATCTTGAAATTATTTGAAAAAGAAAATCAAGATTCAATGTTATACTACACACGTTATGGCGTTTAAGTGCTGACAATGTGACAGTTGATCCATGTTTAAATTCCAACCATAGAAGTAGAACAGATATATAATCATATAAGTCGTTTTTTGTTGTTTTCTTTGTCTTGAAAAATTAAAGATTATATTTCAATTTCTTAATAAAAATATTTAATTTCAATAATATATATGTTTTATAATTAAAATTTTAACAATTTTATGGACATCATACATTTTGAAATACAACTTTTCATCATTAAAGATGGCGCATTTGTAGTTTATAGAAGGTAAACAATAATGACAGTCATAATATATAAGTATAAACATAACATGATTAAAATATAAAATATTATCAATTTTGTAGATTATAATTTTTTATAATAGATATTAAATATAAACATATAAAAAATTTGATTAGATTTTTTTATATTTATTAAGAAATTTATGTAAACAAAATAATAATTAAAATGTAAATTTTTTTTATAGTATTTAAATAAAAGTATCTAAATAAAAAATTATTAAAAAGATAAAATAATTACAAATAAAAAGTATGAAAGTTTTCAGTTAATTTTTTTTCAGTAAACATTATAATAACTTAAGAAAAAACATTATTTTCATTTTGTATTATGATATATAATATTTTTATATTTTTATTATAATATAATAATTGCATAAATAATCTATACAATTAATATATAAAAATATATAACAATAATTTTATATATATACATATATATTATATATATACATAACTATAATATATACTAATAATATGCATATATTATTTGTGCACGATTATTATTACGCGTTAAATTTCATTATATTCGAATACATAAAAAATATATAAACGCAAAAAAAGAATAATATAAAATTTTGTAATACTTAAAATTTATACTTGATATTTATCATTGTTATTTGAAAACATGTAAAAATTTAATATTTTAGTGTTTTCTAATATTGTTATATTGTGCGTAACTCTATCTCTAATTTAATAAATTGCGATGCATTTTCTAGCAATGAATTAAAAAATAAAAAAAATAAAAAATAAAAAAAAATATGAAACATGATCAGAACGAGGACTCGATTCCTTCGTTTCTTTCAGTATAGTGTCTGAGGCTATATGATTAGATAAGACCTCGGTTCATAGTGCGATCGAGATGCAGAACGCATAAGAGACCAAGAGACCGAAAGACCGGCCTCAGTTAAAACTGTGTGTGCATATCGGCAAATTCGTTAGCAAATAATAAGAAAGTTTTTGAGTTAAAAGATCAGTGTGCGTCTCATAAGTAGCGTACACATGCTTCATAAATTTTTTCTCGATCGGATTCTGTGTGAATAGTCACATATTGTTATTCATCAAATCAAATCTAATCATATCGAAGATATTTGTTTCAATATTGATGTTTTTTTGATTAAAAGTTTAAGTTCACATTCTTTTCAAATTAAGCTATGATTTTGTTTTCGAAAAAAAAATCCGTTTATAAGACGGAGTCGGATTGAATGTAATTTTTTTATATCTGATCAAGAAAATAAAAGAAAGAAGGAATTAAGAATGCCAGCCTGCACCAGCGAAAACGTTTCAAGAATTTGGTCTTCAAGTCCATCGAATTCCAGAAGCAATAGCGTATCACCTCCTATTCCTAGTTCACCTCTATCTACTTCACCACCCTTGATATCACCGATATTAACTTTGAAACGATCTATATCGAATATTTCTAATTCTTCTTATGCATCGAATACTTCCCAGTCATCAAATGTTTCTCGATCATCAAACAATTCAAGCACTCCTACTGTGATATTTTCATCGAGACGACAGCAACAACAGCAACAACAGAAATTACAGTTAAGTTACCAAACTCAATTGACACAAGGACAAAATCACAATCGGAACAATTCATTATTGTTGAAGATTTTCACTGCATATATAGATTTACTATTCAGAACACTTCAAGGTATCATTAGCGTAATAAGTTACGTTATCTGGGCACCAGCACTTTGGGCATCTATTTGGATTTATATGTTATGGGTAATTTTTCAATTTCCCTTAACTATTTTCAAATGGTTTTTGACAGTATTTTATATTCCAATTTCGGAAAGGACTCGCTACAAACGGTGTATCCTTATCAGTGGTGGCAGCACAGTGCAGACAGTTCATCTAGCACGAAATTTTCATAAGGCAGGAGCTAAAGTGGTGATTTGCGAATTGGAAGGATTGTTTGGTTTGGCCAAGTTTTCAACCGCGTGTTCCAAATTCTATACAATTCCAAAACCTGGACCTGAAAATGTGATCGAATATATTAAAGCTTTAAAAAATATCGTCCAGAAAGAAAAGATTATTTATTATATCCCGGTAAGTGCTACCAATACAGCTTATTACGATGCTTTGGCAAAACCTTATTTGGAGGTTATGGGTTGTGAATGTTTTGTGCCCAGTGTTAGTGAAGTGACAATCCTCGAAGATCCTTTAGAACTTTTACAAAGATGTCGTGCATTAAATTTACCAGCACCCAGTTATAATGTTTTACGTTCTATACAAGATGTATCAAGAATGTACGAACAAAATGCATTTGCTACCGAAAGATATTTGATGTTGGCCGCGGGTCCGGTTGGAATGAGAGATCGAAGTAAAATAGTACTGCCTCCAACATTGAGAGAATTGAGAAATCAACAATACGAGATTAGTAAGAATAAACCTTGGATAGTAATTCATGATCCTAGTGGGAAACATTATATCACTTGCACCACTGTGAAAGAATCGAAGATAGTGGCTAATGTAACCTGCTTGGTAGACGAAGGACGAGGTTTCATACCTGAAGAAAGACCAGAAATAGTAAAATGGCTCGACAAGTTTTTTGTTCGTGCATTTAGTACTAAAATCAATGGACACTTAAGCTTCAGATTGGCTTTAACAAAGGAAGGAGAATTAGTGCCGATCGGATGTCGTGTAGGCGTTAGCTTGCCTTATATTTGTTATACGGAAATTCATCCTCGGTTGGTATGGAGATCATGTAGACATTTTTCCAGGCAAAATTCTGGAATGCTGACTACGTTGGAAAGACATTTATCGTCAGATACAATGAATTATGCATTAAAACAATCAACAGGAGAAACAATTTCTCATTTATTGAGTAATGTGCTTGACAAACGAGAAGCACTTTTCGCTTATTGGGATCCGTTGCCATACTGTGCCTATTATCATCTTCAACTGCCATTTAGGCGCCTGGCAGGCATGATTCGAGCACAGCCAGTACAACATAATCCACCATTAGCAGTAGTACAGTAGTAATCTTAACTAAGATTATATAAACTTGTTTTTAATGAATATTATTAAAATCCATTTTTTTTAAATAATTTCAATACAATAATATGATCATAGATCGAGAAAATTTTTAAAGCTAGGTTATGAGGAATTCTTTCAGCTTGAACAGATGAATAGAGAAACAGACTGAAATAATATAATTTGCGTTTTGAAAAAATAATAAAAATAGCAATGATCAATTTGATCAAAGATGAAATTTCGATCAGAATGCAAGATATTATTATATTAAATAATAATATATAATATAGAAAAATAATAATATGTAATAGAAATAATATATATATATATATAAATAATATATAATAATAGAAAAATAACAAAATTACAGTTTTAACTCAATATTTCTTAATCTTTTTTTATTACGTAATATAATATAAATTTAAAATTACGTAATATAATTTCTCATGTGATTTAAATATTTATACTATAAAATTTTTAAATTAGATTGTATAATAGAGTCATTATCAAATTGTTTACGTTGATCATTACATGATGAAATAAGATTAAAATTTCTTATTCCTAGCAACTGTATATTCGCAGCCGATCTCGAGTTATAAACGGATAAATATTGTCGAACGAAAAAAAAAAATCAAAATTAGTTGATTAAGAAATAAATATAAATGACTTCAAACATTTTTACGAAGACAGCTAGTATTCGAAAACATCGATCGAATGAACTGAAATAAAAGAAAAAGATAAATCAAATGATATAATATAAAAGGATAAATTCAAAAAACATATAAATAGATTTTAAAGGCCAAGTTCATTTTTATTAATGATAAATACTTATGAAATTACAATTTTATATTAAAAATGAAAAAGAAAATTAAAAAGAAAAAAATGTACAGAAGAAAATGTACATGTTCAAATCACATGTTATTATCATTAATCATACATTTTTAAATGTTTCAATTAACTATACTTGTTCCTATTTTCGTGAATCTGTATTGTAAAATAATACAATGTTAACAAAATGAAAAGCAAAATTTATAAGCATGTGATTTTATATATTATTTTTTATGTATCATTTTTGTGCAATTTATTTAATAATATTATCATTTTTTTTCATTTTTCATACTTGTTTGTTTTTCATGTAATGTTTAATTAAGTTTTTTTATTTTTTTATTCATTTTTGTATGAATAATTCAATTTGAATTTTAGCTAGTAAATAAAAGACACGCACAATATATATATATATATATATATATATATATATATATATATATATATCCATCTCTACACACAAACATTATAAAATGATATATTTAATTCATTATACTTCGTATTATGTTTGACAAATTGTAAATAATGTTAATTAATTATTCATATTACAGATATTAAGCGAATGTTATAATGATTCTCATTTAAGTGCGAAATTCTCATAAATACCGCACGAATGCGAAATAAAATTTTTATAATATTTATAGTATTTAAAATATTTTATAAGAACTCGATCCATAGTTAAAATTCGTGTAAATATTCGTGAATATATTATAAAAATAGTTAACAAATAAAATTTATTCAGAATGTAATATTTTTTAATATATTTCTTTTTATTTAATTATTTTAAATTTAATTTAACTTATTTTTCAAAGAATATTAGGATTAAAAAAAAAATTTTTATAACTAATGAAATTACTAAAAATTTTAAATCATTGATTTAATTTCCAAATAATTAAGATGAAATAAAAGATAATGAATTATATATTATCGAAATAGTAGAAACGACCAAAGTTCAATAAATATTAAAATTATTGTCTTACAGTAATTATTGAATATTAATCGATAATTATTGATATTTATCGATTAATACATAAATATATCTGATGCACTAATAACAATAACTTGTCTACAAGTTTAATTGAATTGTTTAATTATATTTGCTGATAAATAATATTCTATGTATGATAGGGTGATTCGAGAGCACTTAATGGACTTTGAGAGACAGAGGTCACTCAGTTTGAGAAATGTCGGTATTATCAGTCATCTGCTTTCCTTTTTCCTTGTCTCATCTTTTCTTTCCTTTTCTTTCTCGGCAAATCTTTATCAATTATTGTCAACTGTTGTCGATTTAAATATATAACTTTATTGCTAATTTTTTTCTTTTTTAAAATGATAAGATTATTTTTTTTTTTTTAGTATGATAAGAATTTGTTAACTTAGTTTTAATCAATATTTTTCAAATTTTTACAAATTATACATTAATATAAAATAATATAAAAAATTTACTGAATTAACTTGTATTTTTCTATATTTTAAAATTATTTGATATTCAAGAATAATTATTTCAAAATTATTTTTTCCAATAGAAATAAAGATATAATTTATATGATACATTTATATGAAACAATTTTTTTCTATTTCGCATAATTAAAAAAATTATAGTATATATTCTATATAAAAAAATATAGAGAAAGAAATTTATATATATATATATTATATATTATAATATTGAAGATACATAACATAAAATGTTTTTCATTTAGAAATATTATTCAACTAACTTGTTCTTATCAACAAGTTCAAATATCCTATTTTTAAAGGAAAAAGGAACCATTCTGAAATTATATAATATAACAAATTTTGGAAATTAGATTGGAAATTACACATTAGATTGGAATTAGATTGGAACAAAGATTGGAAATTATTAAAAATAATTTTAATTAATATTTTTTTTTTAAATTGATATGAATTGATTGATATGAATTGATTATGAAAATTTAATAAAATATATTTTTAGATTTTACAAAAATGAAATTATAAACAAGAAATTGCTACATTTAATAAATTAATTAAAGAACAAATTAAAAAAAAGAAATATTTATATATATTAGATAAATGTGATTTATTTAATAAATTTGTGAATGAACACGTATAGAATTGAAATAAATTAAAAATTATAATATCAAACAGTTAGAAATTATGTAAATGATCTATCTTATTTATACATTCTGTTTCTTCCAGATTTATTGAAATTAATAATAATATTCCAGATTATAAATATATTCTTATATATTTTATGACAAATAAACAAAAAAATCAAAATAATAAATTCATATTAAAAAGTTATATGACTTTTTTAAATTTGATGAATTTAAATAACTTAACCAATCAAAATGAAATAAATGAGTTATGAAACTTTTTGTAACGTGAATCAATTAAATATTAAGGATATCGTAGATTTTTGTAATTACGTGATATTCTTTTCTCACAAGAAAATAACAATTTTAAAAAATTAACAATCATTGGAAATATTATTAATAACTTGTACAAATTATAGATAAAATAAATGTTATATTAGAATGAAATGGGATAAAAGCAGATCAGAAGATACAGTGTACCAAATGTGTAACGCAATCTTATCATGCGATAATATTGAAATGCAGTTCCTTGACGACGGACGTGAAATAAATCAATACGCAAATAATTCTTTTTATATATATATATATATATTTCATCCGAAAATAATACATAATAAAATTTCTTCTTTCTCTAAAAATAATTTAGATTTTAATTTTTGAATTTTGAGACACAATTTATCATTCACAGAAAGATTTAATCATTCAAAATGCACAAAAAAAAAATTATATATATATAAAATCATATCACTTTGATTATTCCATGAGTAATTTTAATGAAAAATATGATAAAAGTTAAATAATTTAGAAACAGACAATTTAATATGAATATTTTTTGTAAATTGATGTATAAAAATATATGAATATTAAATTTATTTTTTTCTTTTAATGGAATCATCATTCTACATACTGTTCATCTTATATACACTGAAAATATACATATGTGTACAATCATATTTGAAGAGATATATGAAATATACGACTAATATATATATATATATATATATACCGAAAAATAGGTATATATTTATTATAGGTATATATTTTTATAATTATATTATTAATATAGGTATATATTTGCACTTATAAACTGTATACACCTATATTTTTAATTAATTAAAAACATATATTTTTAAATTTTTATTATATATTATATTTATTATACTATATTAATATTACATATATCTATATACATATATATTAACATATATTCAAAATATATATATAGAGTTTAAAAGATATTTTAAACTATTTTAAATATTATTTTTCTTTGTTTTTTTTTTTTTTTTCATAGAAATTTATTGAAATGTTATGATATGGTCTCATTATAGCTGAAAAATATGATAAAAGAAAACTTAAAAGCCCTTAACTTGATTTGACTAGAAATAACAAGAAAGAAAGTTATTTTCTTAGCCAACGCGTACCACGTGGTTCCAGGTACGGTTCTCTGTGAGAACAAATTCACCTGACTTACATACCAATGGTTCGCTTATTGCCACCACTTACACCTTACTGCCAATTTTCACTGAGAAAAAAATTTAATGCAACGATGCGGTTATATTTCTCTAACATTTTATCTATCGATTATCTATCGATAGATTATTAAGATTCATATTATTATAAAAAGAGAGATAATTAAATAATGTAATAATTTATAATTTCTACAAATTTAGGAATAATTCTTATGAAAATTAATTATAGCGTTATCATGACATATTAGAGTACACTAAACTGAATGAGATGAATCAGAATAAAATAGTTTATTCGTGTTGTATAAAACTTTAAAAAAAAAAAACACATTGATATTATATTGAAAATCATGTATAATCATATTGCATAATAAGAAGACATATTTTAATCATATTAAAACAGCGACTAAAATAATATATAATTTTTTGTTTCATAATGGGCAAGAAAAATAGTTTTTCCGATTAGGAAGAAGATATAGAAAATCTTGCGACATTTTTTACTCATCAAAATAGAATATTTTATATTTTAAATTGATATGAATTTTGTCTTATCGTGAAGCAATGCGAAACTTTGTTCGATGTCTGATCATTGCGATTTTATTCTACTTAAGACGCATAGTTTCATTCATAACTTACGTAAATATAAAAGAGTAGTTTCAATTTATTCTTTACAACTTAGAAATCATATTGTTTAATTCCAATCATATATCATATAAAAATTACCAGCTCTATTATTTTTTTTATGCAAAATTTTTAAAAATAATTCTTAATTTCAGTGATATAATAAGAAATATGTAAAAGAA